TAAAATCATAACCTGAGGAAACCTGCCTAACAGAAAGGAAGAAAAGAAGTATATATATAGCATAGATTAGAAGGTCTCTCACTTCCCATTTCATGTACGCATTTGAGATATATGTCACGAAGTATCAAGAGGGTTCATTAAATCCTCCCTAGAATACAGAGGATGACCCCTTAACAAAAAATTGAGGATTTGGAACCATCTGTTCTTAAAAATTTAATGATGGATTTTTATTCTCCCTTGTGAACATATGGATTAAAAAGATACTAACATAAATTGAAGATGAAATTGAACACAGTATGAACTACTATTTTTATCAAAATCTGCATACCATTTAAATTGTATTACTATTTCTTTTCTAGAGAATTGATATTTGCAACAAAAAAGTCACTATGGGTCTTTTTCCTTATTTCACAAGGCTTTGCATAAAATCAATTGCTTACACTGCAAATCTTGCTTATCTTCGGAGACCAGTTCTCTACGAATTCACGTGCCTCATTAACAGCCATATCTAGGTTTTCACACTCTTTATATAGGATAACATCTGAAGGTATCTTGGATTCAACAACTTCATCAAGGACTGATTTCAAGAGTTTCAAGACAACAGCCATACTCTTGTAGTCCATTTGAAGAGCTGTAACTTTTATAGTCTGACAAGAGACAAGATGAACAAATCGAGAAATACTGTTGATGAGGCATCGGATAGGCACTACATCCATCTTGCCTGCTTCAAATAAAGCATCTGAAAACATAAATTTCACTGGGAAAGAAAGAAGAAGAAATAAGTATGAAGTATTTTCCAATTTTCCTTAGTGCCCTTGACAAACACTGAAAACCCTGATCAAAATAAATTTAAAAATAGTATAGAAGTTACTATTTAAAAAAAAAACAAAAGAAAAAAGAAATATTCCACACTGAGAAAAGTGGATTGAGACCAAATCCTGATATAGATACAACTTAGCATATCCCTATATCCAATTTCCAAAAGACTCATACAGCAGAAAGATTGACTTTGATATATCCTTTGAAAAAACAGCTTTCCGGAAAACATTAAAGTAGGAAGATCCTTTTGGAATGAATCTTTTCCAAGTCATTCCTTGGCACTTTCCCAGTTGACTTCTGCCTCCATAAACTGTGTAAACCCGTTTGACCAGATTCATATTTGAAAATCGATTTTTTACAACGTATTTTATGCAAGAAAGGTTCAGACAGCCATAGCCATTAGGCTTGGTGAACATTCAAGAAGTCCATGAATAAACTGAGATTTTAAACAAAAAAAGAAAAGGAAAATATGGGTCTTGATCTTGCATTATTTGAGAACTAAAAGAGGAAAACAAAACAAACACCGCCGAGTGATTTAGTGAACAGAGCTTTCCATTTGGGGAAACCGAAGCATCACGAGATCCATGATTACCCTTTCTCTTCAAATTGTTGAGAAACAATATTTATGTTTTTTTAACCTTTTTACCCAAAAAAAAAAATACAATAACCTCAATTATGTATTGAAAAATAAACCTATCAATCAAATTCCAGAAACTAATAATTAAGTAAATCACAACCCAACAAAATCATTAGGAAAACCCAGAAGTCTAAAAGGGTGAATCTAAAACAAAAACAAACAATAAGATCATCTAGTCTTCAAACATTTAACAGACAAAAGCTAAAACCTTTATCATCAAAACTATACTCACATACCTCTCTATTCAAGGGGTTAAGCATGTGGGTTAAGGCAAAAGCAGATCTTGATTAACATTTCATGTGTCATCTCTTCTCTCCCCCACCCCACCCCCCCCAACTGATCAAGATTCATTCTTGAACAAGCTGCGTAAACCTTCCTGCTCTCTTCTTTCCTTACAAAGCTGCATGAGAGAGAGAGAGAGAGAGAGAGAGAGAGAGAGAGAGAGAGAGAGAGTGGGTGTTACAGGAGAGCTAAGAACAAAACTGAGTAAAGGAGTTAAAAAGGTGGGACCTTGTTAGGTTTGTGTGCCTAAAACTTAATTAAGTAATAATTAATAGATTAGAACAGAGTAGAAAGACAAAAACATTAATTAACACTGAATAGATTTCATTAGATTAAAAAATTAGGTTTAAGAAAACAAGAAATTAACATTAATTAGTTCAGGTAATGAAGATCATCCATCATATCCAACAATATTACAGAGAGTACCATGATTGAGTTTCAGCATGTGATTTCATTCACTTACTTTTGCTTTTCTTTTCTTTTTTCTCCATGCTTCTAGATGAGTCTTTGACCCTTTCTTCTCTTTTATTTTTATATGTAATAAAGTGAAATTTTATATAAAATCATGTTTAAAATTGTAGTATAATATATTCTATACATATATTTAAACCGATGTAGTTAAATATTATTTATTTAATTAAATTATTAATATTTTTCTCTTTTATGAGAGAAGTCATGAGATTCTAACCAAGTGTGTTAATTAATATATATACATATATATATATTATTACTAATATATCTACATAATTTTAACCACATATATTATTTCTTTAAAATATAAAATATGTAATATATTATTATTATTATTATTATTATTATTATTATTGTGAATCAAATTATAATTAGTAATATATCATTAACAATTATAACAATTTACATGAGTTAGATTTTTGAAATTATATTAATGAATTTTCAATAAAAATTATAATTATTTTTGGTAAGATGATTAGGAAAAGGAAAGCAAAATAGCAAAAGTCAACTTAAAAATAAAGAAGATATAATTATAAAATTAAGGGATGATAATTGACAATTACAATTAATTAATATTAACACGTAATAATACATAATATTACAACTAAAATATCGTTGGAAATGGATTTAGTTCTTATATAATTCAAATAATATATATATTTTTTTTTTGAAAATTAAATATCATGTGATCTAATTTCGTAATTATGTTGTATAAAATTATGATGGTCTATAGAATCTTGTAATATAAATATTATAATTTTTAGGGTTTTGTTTTGGGTCACAGAAATATTACTTCATATATATATATATATATATATATATATATATTTTAACTGTTGTGTTTCCAGATTGGAAGGCAAGAACAGAGTGAGGTAAGTAGTGGTTTCCCTTATGGGGGCATAAACTTTGACAGAACACCTAGTTGGTGTGAATAAATTTTAGGTAGGGTTAGTGGACCTCATTTTACAGCTGAAAGAGGGATTGCCCTGTCAAAGCTAATGACCAATATACATATATTACATATATATATATATATATGTATACACACACACACGTACACATATTTTCCTTTATAATACTTGGGTATGAGAATAAAAAATTGAAGAGAATTTAACCTAAACACATAATAAGATGGATTCGTTTTTATGGTATTTAGTACTTTGATTTCATCTAACACTGAAAATTTAAAATTGATGTAAATTTTGGTATATACAAAAGCCATAGCTTCCCGGCAGAGTTTGCAAAATAAAATCCAAGTAATATACCAATCAAGAATCTGCAAGAATGTCGATTAGAAAGAAAGAAACAGAATCTAATAACAGATTATCTACTACTATTTCCAAAAAAGAAAAATTTTGAAGATGGCAAAAGAGCTACACTTTGAATCCAAAATTTCACTGAACGTTTAACAGGAAGATGATTCAGACAAAAAAAATCTGTCGAAGTTTAAAGAAAAGAAAAAGAAAAGGTGCATCACAACCTATATCAGTATGTATGCTGTTGATAGTTCTCTGTCTTCCCGCAACATCAATCAGACAGAGGTAGCACTTAGCAAGTCTACCAGCTCACTCTTCTTCATCTTTGAAAACCCTTTCGCGCCACGAGACTTTGCAAGAGCCCTCAGTTCTGGGAGCTTTAATGCATTTAGATCTCCATCTTCAATCCGATGTTCTTCCTTTTCATCTTCATCTTCATCATTATCACCATCACCAAAATCTGAAGAGACAATATCTGGTACAGCTACCGCAATATCCTCATCTTGATAAATGGACTCAGGCTCCAGCTCTGGCTCTGGCTCTGCTTCAGGTTCTGACTCCAGCCCAAGCGCCACCTCAGGCTGTGGGTCAGCAACAGGCTTGTATGTAGGCTCACGGTGTGTTTCGACCTGATTTTTCTTTCTCCTCACGCTTGTATTGGAATATGATACAGTGTTGAGAGCACTCTCGCTGGAATAAACAGACTGATATCTAGATTGTGGAACTGGCGACCTCCGCTGGAAATTTGATGCTGGTCTGGTTAATGGAGAGGAATTATTATGTTCTTGGACTTCATCCCTCACTTTGCTCCTTGAATCAAAGAAACTCGTGTTCTTATCTTCACTGTATTTTCCGTTCAGTTCTCCATGGTCTGAATTGAAATCTTGGCTGCTGTAAGTGCTGCTTTGTCTCTTTCCCTGTTCAACAGAGTGCTTCCTCAATAACTTAAGCAGGGAATCCACTGTTTCACTTGCTTTGCCTTGTCCTTGGGAGGTCTCAATCTTCCTATCCTCCTTAGCAGCTGCTCGCTCTCGAAGTTGAGCCTGAACTTTCCTGAAAAGTTCAACAATTTCTTTCTCTCTGGGTCCAGGGGCAGCAGTAGCTTGAAATTTAGGGGAATTTGAGAGGGAGAATAATGGCCCATTTTTTGAAGGTAGTATCTCAGAATCATCAAGACTATCAAAGCTATCTCTCTCTTCATTTTGTCTGTTTCTGCCTCGGAACCCATGTTTACTTTGACGTGAGAAATCTGGATTTCTCCTATTACCCCCAGAAGTTGCTTTACACACAAAAGAGACTCTCCTAGAATCACATTTTAAAGATCCGATCTTTACTTGTAAATGTATTTTGCAATCAACACGAGAGAGGCAAGGAGGTAAAACCACTGTCCTTCCAGAAATCCCATAAAATGAGAGGCATCTGCCCTCTGATCGTCCACAACCTACAATACAACCAGCACAAAGGCACAAAAATCAATAACCACAATGAAGAAATTAAGATAAGAAAAATATACTAACTGACACCTATCTGGCAATCTTATTCTGCAGCCGCATTTGTTAAATGTGTAAAGAATGTTATAAATAAAACAGGGGGGCGGGAAGACAGAGAGGTTAGTTGTCCTTGCTTTGGTACAGATGCTTCTAAACATAGGAGAAAGAAAAAGAATTATAATGCATCAAAAGCTGACCAACAAAACACCCAAGAAGAAAAGGAAAAATTAAAATGACTTATTTTGTCCAATATCAGTGGTTAAAGTAACAAACTCATGACTAATTGCACAATAGGAAGTATGAGGTTCGTATCTGTCATTTCATTAAAATCTCATTATATAGTAAATTAATGTATGCACATATAGTGAAAAAAAGTTTAAGACCTTTGAACAAATGAAATACAAAGCAAAAACTTCCAATCCAACATAAGGGTTTGTTACTTAACACTGTTACCCTAAGGTTGTCCGTTTACTATAATTTTGTCCTTCCTTTTCCCACAAGCCTCAAGTATACTGTCTTTCTATTAATGAAAAGCAAAAAGAAAGTGGAAAAGAAAAGCATTGACTTCCAGTCCAACTTAAGGATCTGGTTGCCACTACTCAGGACCTCCAGCTGTCTAGCCTATTCTCTTGAATCTCCTCGAAAGATTATGTACATTCGGTGGTCTTTTTTCACCTTTACTTTTCACAAAAGCCAAAGTGCACTTTACAGTAGTCCTCAGACTTTATAAAATTTTTGCTAACTGAAAATTTGAACCTTAATGTAAAAGATTAACATGCATCTAGAAAATTAATTTGTCATCCCTGCCACCACAACCCCTTTCTTCACTTCTAACATCACCAAGCCATTTTCCACCTCAGTATCAGGACTATTTTTGCATGGGCAAATATTAGAAACAGGTGGCAGTGATAAAAATACCATGAAAAAATCACATTCAATGAAGTAACAGGCAACAATGTAAAAATTTCACCTTCATGGATGCTTGCAAGGAAAACAAAGTTCAAATGGTTCACCAAAATTAATCAGCTTATCTGTCAAATTAATTAACTATCTAAATGCTCGTGAATTAGATCAAACCTCCTAACACTATACTGCATTTGAAGGACAAATCCAATTAGATATCCAGTTTCATAATTAATCCAGTCTTAGCATGAGAAAAAAGTAAGAGCATACAACCAAGTAGCAATCATGGTACACAATAACTCTCACTATCACTGACCAAGCATCCTCCTTCGAGTCGTCCCAGGACTGTCAACAAATTCAGATATAGCTTGTATCACAATTAGCCAAGCTCAAACACAGACCGGCTCACTTCAAGCTTGATTGAAGCTATGGAAATCATGCTTGAACTTATGCTCCACTTAATTTCATCAAACTTGGTCAGTTCAAGTTAAACTCATACTTATCAACGAACCAACCTCAAAAAGCTTTCTAGGAAACCCGCCTTAATTTAACATGGATACTTCAAACACGTAAAAAGCATCTAGATCAGCGAGCTACAAACACATAAAAAGCAAGCTAAGTTTTTCAAACCCATCCATCCATCCAGCGCATCTACCAAAGGGAAAAGAAGCTCTAACCAGCTTTTTCAAGGGCTGCTCAAAAATTCCATAAGTTTCTTTACGCTCCTAATTTATAATCCCGCGGGCCGAGAAACATGAGCATTTCATCAAACAACTTGCGGGCAACATTAAAAGAATCATAGCTACAGCCACAAAAAGCGTTTTACAGATAAATAAATAAACCCAAGGAATAATGTAAACAAATAAATAAATAAATAATCACGCTTCTTTCAAGTACAAGAACCAAATATATAGAATGAAAATGGAATGTCGAAGAACTCAAAACATAGAAATTCCATTAGCACGTTAATATAAGCCGAGTACAAAAAGAAAAAGCACCATTAGCTGTCCAGAAAAGCTAAAGAAATGAGAAGATATTGAAGTTCAAGAACGGACTATCCCATAACAAATTCCCAAGCTAGCTCGAATCAGGCAACAAAGTTTCTTTCCTTTTACCACAGCTTCCGGGAAAAAAAGAAAAAACAGATCACAAACAAACACAAAAAACACCAAAGAGGAAAAGCAAAAGAAGAAATGAGAATCAGAGTAGATAAATTACCAGAAACGTTGTTCGGAAGAAGATGTATAGCGTGCGACATTACAGTGCAAGCTTCAAGTGAGAGGCCACTGGCGCCTTTGCATTCTACGACTTCTGCGTTGCGAACTCGGAGTTCGTGTTATATACGAATCGATAAGGGATTCGCTCGGTAATCTTTGATTTGTTTAATGGCAATAGCGGGTTCAAATTTCAGCGTAGGGTTTTCTATTTGGCAAATTGCATTTTGCACCATAAAAGTTTCTAAATTGTATAAAAACCCTCATAATTCTCAAAATTACACAAAAAAATATTATTTTTTACAAATTATGATACACTTTGTTTTATTTTTTACTCTTTGAAAAATTCTGTTCATTTCCCCCTTTTCTAAATAATATATTTTATTAATATTCTAAATTTATCCAATTATCACTTAAAACACACAAAAAAAAAATCAATTAATAATTAAAAAAATGAACAAAACAGTTAAAATATATATATATGTAATATTTTTATTATGTTCTTAGAAAATATAATATTTTTCTTCATGCAACCAAAAGGCCTTTTCCATATCCCAAATGTTAATTACGAACTTTGGACAAGTTAAGAGTGTATAGAGTTATCACAACATATATATGTATGTAATATTTGGGTAATTATATAAATTGTAAGACTCTAATGTAATGTAAATTGCTAAAATAAATCTAGTATTTAAGACTTATAGAGAAAAATATGCAGCACATATTGTACCATATTTGTCCATATCTGCTAATAAGTACTTGTACAATATACATCCTACAAGTACTTATTAATGTCATAGAAGTTACCAGTGCTGATTGACGTTCAAATTTTTTCGAACTTCAAAAGTTAAAGGTTAAAATTAATCTTAACGTAGAATTACTTGATAAAAATATTTGATTTGGCATAGTGTATTTTTTTAATCATGAATTTAACTTATTTAAATACTTTCTAAGTATTTAGATATACTTTGTTTATTATTATTATTTTTTTTTTTTTGGTGTTGCTGTTACTATTTTTGTTATTATTATTATTATTATATATAGTTCTTACATATAAATTTATAAGCACTAATATGTACTCTGATGTTTTTAATCGCCAAAGGGTAATATTTAAAGAATAAAAATATAATTTAACAGTTAAAAATTTAGTTTTTATAACTAATATTGTTAAGGAACATTCTCTTCAAAAACAAATGAGGATCCAACTCCAGGATTTTACCTCTGAGGAATCATGCCGACTGACTCTTTCCAACCTGCTGCTTTGAAGAAATATATTCATATAGTTTTACACTTACAAATGATTCTTATGATACTTGTGCCAAATTCTCCAGCCCATCAACCGTTCCAAAATAATGTTTAAAAAGCTACATAAAACTCAAAATTCAACACAGCCTGCTGCCTAATCGTCAACTGAAACAAGAGCCGAGTTTTACCCTTTCTGTCAACATAACAATAAGCAACCACCCTCCCGAAATCGACTATTCTAAATATCATGTCTTTTATTTTTCTCTCGTGCCAGAAAGAAAAACTGCAGGAGATTGTGCACGTTATGGGGGAAAAAAAAAAAGAAAAGAAAGAATACATACAAGCTGAAATGAGTCAGATCTTTATGCAGGCATAGTTTATGCTTTGTGATTCTTTGTCATCTCATCAACGTCCAGTTCTACTTCCAGTACTGGAGAATCCCTACGCATGCTGGAATAACTGGTAAAGCAATATCAAATTTTCAGGTTATAATTCCCGTAAAACGAAAAATTGTTAGATTGGAGCCAAATATCTAACCTGTTCTGCACAGGACCATGATCTACAGCTGTCCGCAGACAATATATAACTCTGCCGACTATGTTTGACATGAGAACCGGACCAAATGTTCTACTATCATTAGCCTCCTGTGATTATAGATGACCATCAGAAAGAAAAATAAAAGAAAATAAGATATTCAAGGTTTTTGCTGTGCGTTTGAGAATTAGGTATGGGTCATTTCAGACCAATAGTACATTATCCTGACCTTATATAGACTTGTTGCCACATTAAAAAGTGTGCAATCAGCAGCATAAAAGAAAGCAATTGTGTATTGAGGGGGTGCAATTACCCGCAGATGTCACGTAAAACGTCCATAATGATATATCTCAAATAGCAAAGAAGACTATGTACCTTAGGTTTCAACTTCTCATTGTCAGCCAACACCCAGCACTGATCCTTCTCAAGAATGAAGGGTTCCTCTTTTTCATCCTTAGATACCATTTCATACCCTTCAGTAGCTGCCAATCTTCTAACCAGAAAGCTACTCAAGTTCTGGGGGTCCTTCAGTACCACAACATCTCCAACAAAAACACGTCTGGTCAAGAATCAGAACATGTCAACTTGAGCAACGACAAGAACCAAAAAATGAACCAGAAGAAAAGTCTGAAACAAGATACTAAAGGTTCTTCTCTAACCCAAATAAAAGTTAAAGAAGAAACTAGAAATCATACAGGGTGGACAGAGCTAGTGAATAGCATAGATAAGACTATTAACATTCAGTTTTAAAACCTTTGAGAAGGTTCTGAAAATCATCTTATACTTTGACAATTTCTACCATGTAGTTCATGCATATCTAAAGGACCTCTTGTAAAAAAATAAACAATTAGCTATGTAAGTTGCACTTAAAGAAATATTTTTTAGAAGAAAAATACACTTTCCTCCGTAATAATAGTAACAATTACCTTCAGAAAAAAAATCTACAAATTTCCACACCTTTATTACTCTCTGAAAATATTCAGATATTTCATAGTTTTTTTCCCCCCAAAATCTCTAAATCCTCATTCATATCTTCTTCTAAAAGCATCGGTAAAAAAAATGGACTCATAAACCACAAAACTAGACAACGATTAAAATGAAAGCATAAACAAGGGAAAATAATAGTTTTAGAAGAACAAAAACAACTATACGGGAGGAACAAATATCTTAGAGAGTGGAGCAGGTTGATTAAGAGTGGAATTTCCTAAAGTCCTATTACACAATTTATCGCAAGAAATCCCGTAACTGATTATTTCCCATGGAAATAAATCTGGAAGAGAAAACCATCACCCAACATTGTGTTTATTTTTTAGAGGACTGTTAAACCAACAGCCACATGACATGGATATTTCGAGAAATTTTCAGTAAGGTTTAAAGCAATTGTTGCGTCTTGTCAACATGCAGCTATATATATTTAAACACTAGACAGCCTCTTTTTCTCTGAAAAACATTATGATTGGTTAGTCAACCTTCCAAAAATTAGAAGATATAAGAGAGGTACAAAAGATTAGAAAATAAGCAGGTTGACAACTTCTTCAATAAAGTGTCTGTGGGGGATACCACACTTTTTCATACTTAATAGAAATGCAATGCTGAAAAATCACGCCAAGGACATATCAAACTAACCCAGTCCAACAGCTATTGCTGACTTTTGACAGCACTTTTATTAGCTTTAAGAGAACTAAAACAACCAATAAGCTCAGAGAACCAATCTCGCCGATGTGGGAGGTTTTCACATCATTGAAAGCGACAAATGCAGGAAAAATATCTTTATCCAAAGAAAAATATTCATCTTTTTCATGTAAAAAATAAATATTATTAGAGGGGAATAGAAAGATATAATAGAGTACACATCCTCCCAATAAAAAGAGGGGAAAAAAAAGAAATGGATAATGGCCTGGGCAACAAAAGAAAATATAAAATTGTCAGCCCACCTCTATGTATAGTAGATAAAGAAATATCTTTATAAAGGCCATGCATCTTAGCTAAAAAGATGTTGAAAAGGTCAAAGTATCCCAAGGAAACAAATAGTAAGAGAAATATCCTCGGGTTCCTCTGCAGCCACAACCCAGCAAGCAATGCCTCCTTAAATATCCTTGCATTCCTCTGCATCCACAACCCAGCAAACACCGGCCCCTTCCACAACAATCTATCATCTTTCTTCTTCCGAACAACACATAAAAACTAGGTAATAGAACCCTCAAGGTTTGCAGGAAAACCCAACAAATACAAGAAATATCAAATTAACAAGCACTAAGTCTCCAAGCCAACAAAAGGTTGTGGGATAAAATTGTTAAAACATGATTCAGCCTGGAGCAAAATCATTAGTATCAAGGTTTTTAAGAACCACAACCCAAAGAAACCTTAACCTTAGAGGGAGCAAAAATCTTCCAAAACATTGTCTAACCGGCGTGATTATGTATACAAGAGTTAATGGTTTAAAAAGACAATGACAAATTTGCCCAAAAAAATATTCAAGGACGCTAAATACCAACGCTATGATAAGGACTTCAAGAAAAAATGATAAATTCATGTCAAGTCAAAGAGAGCATATCCAATCCAAATATATAAGTCAAAGAGAGCATATCAACAGCTTCACACTAATATAACGAATATATTACGAGACGATGAACCATCAGTTCAATCTGGGAAAAAAAATGAGAAAGAGAAAAGACATGAGAGATCATCAGCTTGGACAGTGTAGTAGAAGATAAAAATGTTAAAGCTACAGGAAAAATTATAGACAAGGGAGATGACCTGTGTATAAGTGATAGGTTATCCCAAAATGGTGCACATAACAAGCAAGTCTTCTTAAACTAATATATCTTTTCATGGAAAAAAGAAGTATTATTAGAAAGAAAAACAAATTACAAGCATAGACTAGTTATCTTCCCAATAAAGAAAGAGAAATGAAAAGAAAAAGAGAAAAGCCGACAATGCTCAATAGATAATGGTTGGCCAATCCCTATTCTTACAAAGCTTTCAAATATCTAATGGATCTGTTCATTAATTGCTTATTCATGATCAGAAAAGATCAGACTTGTTGCTAACCACAATATCGACTTAATAATTGCTTCCTTTAAACTTTTTGGAAGGTGAAGTTACCTAACTACCTCCTATCAAACTTCCAAAATTATTTCACCTTATCATATTACTTTTTGACAATAATCAACATATAAACTCTTCTGAACAACCAGCACGACTGATAAGCCTAAGGCCCCAAAGCTTGAGTTCGGAAAATTCATTAAATTAGATAACAGCAATAATTAACACAAAGGATAATGCTAAATCATTCAATAGAAACTCAGGGATAAGCAAGCGTATACATACATCTAAACCTTTCCCCATTTTTCCTTATCTTTTTTCCAACAATTGCGTGAATGATGACTGTATTTTACTTGTACCAGAATGGAAGATAAAAAGGGCAGCCAAATCAATATTCTCAACTGAAGCATATAACATGAAAATACTGTTCCTCATACAGCCAAATGAAATTGACATTTGAAAACAATTTACACAAGTCAGAAAGTAAATCCAGCAGCATTAGAGGGCTAATTTCAATCTTCATAAATGCTTATGAAAACCAGGTAAAAAAATGTGAATTAAATACAATATTCGTCTCACAGTTATACAAGTTCAAGTTTATAAAATAACAGGTTTAAATTTGATATCCAGCTATCACCAATGATGTTGATACCAACGAATAGACCAGTGTTTGACAATAGTTGCATAATTTTAGATCAATAATAACATTTTTCCCAGTCATGACCAGGACTTTGAAAATTATCAACTTGAACTATCTTAGTACGCCAACTCTTCTTATCAAAAAATATTAAAGACAAGTCTATGGTACCTCCCCCCATTGAGAGGCACCAGTACCTATCAGATTTGGTTAAATTTTGTTACTATTTTAATGATCACTTGTTACTATTGGCTCTTGACATCATGCCAATTGGCTGGTAATAACTTAAAAGTTAGATAATAACAAATTATAGCTAAAATGATAATATAGTACAGCCAAAAAATGTGAGGTACGAGTAACTCCAACTTGCTGGAGGTAGAAAAGTCCAATATGCAAACTTAAGAAAAGCACTTCTATTTAAAGATATATATATATATATATGATCCATATATAGATAGAGAGAGAGAGAGGTCATATTACGTTGGATCTGCAGCTGGGATCTTTCTGACAAGTAAAGTACCTCCCTGTCCTCCTATTGTAGGGTCCATTTCCTGTCCTTTAGCCCAGTGTAAGTAAGTCAACTTTCCCTGGAATAGATTCTTCCATACTACATCACCTACTTCTCGGTCACTGATTTGACCTCCCTTATAGCTCTGTTATCAAATGCACAGTGAGATAGATATATTAAGGGCAATGCATGCACTTTTACAGCTATGAATACCGTAAATGGGAAAATATTTGCAGCAGAAGAAACAATCAACAAAAAAGGTATCATAAACAAGTACACAGCATCCTTTCAATTCAACAGTCCTACTACCAACTGAAGTGCTAAATACATTGAAATAGGAACTTTCAGCACAAACCAAAGAATTTATGACGCCAGATAAAGGCTCCCACTTCACGGGATAAAAGTTTATTCGAGTAAAATCACTCAACTATGGAGTGCTTTTTTGCTAGTTGGTCCCAGTCCGATGCTGCAAAATAAATTCATGGTGAGATCCAGAGTTTCTTTTAATTTTAGTCTTAAGACTTTCAAAAGTCATTTTGTTGACAATTTTTCAGATTAGGTTACCCACAATTATCTTAAACAGCATTTCCTAGTACATTTTTACAATTTGAAACTTATTGATTTTATTACTTATTCTATTCTCCTTGGTTCCATTCCAAAAATGAAACTTCAAAAAAAAAAAGAAAAGAAAGTGATAAATAATGCTTGAGGGGGGGGCAGGAAGGCACTTTTATGATCAGTGCAACTATTTTTTCTTTCCTACCACTTTTCTCCAAGATCCAAATGAACAGTTTAAAAAACTAGAAACAGCAATCCTTAAATTGCCAATCAAGCATATCAAGGCAAACTAAAATATCTCAAAGGGGGTGAGATAAAAGCCAAAAGAGAAAACAACAAATGTCAATAATAAGTTGATGTAGGATAAAGCAAGAATAATTTGTCTATTTAGGAATTGGGGTAAATGTAGAAATTCTTAGATATCACTCCTAAGTATTGAAATAGATTTAACAGAAATTAACAAGTAGTCAGACATAGAATCCCTTAAGCATCAAACCTAAAAGTTGGCTATTTCTTGAGCATAAGCTAAAGACATCATTGCATCACACAATCAAAATATAGAGATAACTCTCGAAAATAATTTACTGACACAGTTTATTTAAAAGTAAGTTCACAGAGATATTTATAATGCTTGAAATGAATAATAATCTCATTATAATTATAGATTTTTTTTTCCAGTAAAGGAAGAAATATTATTAAATCAGAGAAAGATGATATAAATGAAACTGAGAAGATAAGACATCCTCCCAGCAAAAAACACAACACAAAAGACAAAATAAAGAAATTATACAGATGAAAATATAGAGAAAGATGCCCAATCCTTGCACAAAGACGATAAAAGCATCCTAAAAAGAAACCATGAGTGTTTGCCCAAAGAGAGGCAAAAAAATTACTCTATTCCAAATTGCTTTGACTCAATGGAAATAGATGTTTAAAAATACTATCTTTTTATGAAAGAGGAAATATTATTAGATAGAGAAAAGAGATACAACAGTAGAAGATAAGAAATCCTCCTACATTAAGAAAAGAAGCAAAAAAGAAGTAATTAATGACAACCAAAGGCCTAAGATCGCTACAAACGTCAAGATCACTATTTTCTGAGGCACCAATGTAGGGCCAAACAGTTGATAATGCTCGAGGCGATTGAGGATAAGGAGGTGATGACAATGCAAATGATGACCCTATCAAGAAAACTAAAACTAATGAAGACATGAGGGAGATTTAATTACAGGCTCTAGAAGGGCATGTATAAGCAAGTGAAGCTATGGAGGTTTATGAAAGAATGGTCAGAATAACAGTGCCTAATTCTTGGCAGATACTAAATAAATGAATAGTCAAAGAAAGAGTTATAGTGTATAACCCTGATGGATCCAACAACCAAATTTTGGTGTCAGGCTGAGAAGGAAGGTATATGGTTCTAAGAGAGAATAGATTTTGCACTTCAAGGGTTTCCCTAACCAATAGGTTATGGATGAAATGGAAATTCCAGGCAATGCTCCCCTCAACTAAAACACGCATCATACAACCTAGGTATTAAGAGAAATCTTACACATAATTTATTATCTCATGCCTCACCTCAAAAGTGATTTTTATTTCCTACTACGAAGTTCATCCACTGACAAGACTGTTCAAGGGAGTTTGACCATCAACTCTCGATTCAAGTCTGATAATAAACCATCAAAATACTTTCTTGAAGTAACAGAGCATACTTTCAAGAAGAGAAACATTGTTCTTCTCTCAAAGAAAATTCAAGAAGAGAATTAAGATTTTCTTTGGGGGTTCACTACCAACACTGTAAGCAAAACTTCATAAAATTACCTAACACAAATCATCATCCCAACATCTAAGCAAACATTAAGGGTATCTTCAGCAAAATAAAATATTTTTGCATAATTCATTTGGAAATGTATATTTAATTTAACCATGAGAGAATAACAAATTTAACTACAAATGAATCTAATTTTGAATTCATTTCAAGTTAAATTTCTAACCTCTTTGATTTGAATTTTCATCCTCTCTCGTAGTTTAACAAATTATTGATTATCAATTCACAAAAATAGTTCATTTCTTTGAAACGTACCCTAAATTCATAGGTAAACTAAAATGAGCATAATTTGCAGTCTCAAAAGTCATCCATTTGGACACTTCATTTTAGGTTAACATCTTTCGTAGTAGCTGTCCAAGAAACAACTGTGTATAACATTCCTCAATTAAATATCGAAGCTAGAACCTAAAACATGACCTTCCCTCTTTTCTCAACTGCTTGAACTTGAGCTTAGAGCTGCATTTCTCATCTAATCTACCAGAGAAGTTTTGACTCCAACAAAGAATATTCGGAGATGCATTATGCAAAATTGTTATCCAACCCAACTAAAAACTGATATATATTTCTCGATTTGTGATAAAATAGGTAGACATTTTTATATAGATAGCATATTTGTCTATCAAAATCCAGACCTGGATAAATCCGATTAGAGATCATTTAAGAAAGGAGAACATAAGGTCTTTACTGCCAACTCAAACCCAATCTATTACTACCATATGAACAAGCTGACAGCAATTTTAGAACGCTAACCTACAAAAGCACATCATCAACTACGATGTTATGGGGAGGAGAGAAAGCCTCCAATACTATACTTGTAGTCACTTGTGTTGCTTGAAATCAAAATAATAACGCAAATTTAAAGTACTTCCTCAGTTAGTTCCTCCCTAATCGCATTGAAATACAAATGCAAGGCACCATAACCCCAACACACAAATATCGGGAATCCCAAACAAATCTCGGCATGGAACAAACGCCTCTTAAATAACCTAAAATGTAAAAATTCTACAAATCTATTCGCAGAAGGGAAGAAATCCATAAACGACAGAAGCACGATCAGATGAACTCTTAACCAGAAAGAAAAAAAAATATGGGAAAGGGGACAAGCAAGGATCAACAGGATACTGATAATTAAAAGACTAGAGAGAGATGGAGGGAGGAACCTTCCAGCTGAGAGAGACGGAGTATTCGAACTTGTGAGCTATGTACCGGCACCAAGTCGAGAGGGAAACCATTGGCAGCTCGGGAGTTTGGGCTGTGCTACGTTGTTCTTCACAGTGCGCATTTTCAGATTATCCCCGACCTGTTTAAAACCCTTTTTTCCAACTAATTAATGGCTTAAATTTCTATTCTCTCTTTTTTTGTATGTTACATTTTTTTCAGTAATTATTAGACGTGAATTACAATTTTAATTAGGTAAATTATATTATATTTTATATAATTTGATATATCATATAAAAATTACCTCTATTTTCAATATCTAAATAAAAACACCATATAATTTTAATTATTATGCAATATATTTGTAATTTTATGATACAAAAATATGTAAAAAAAATGTATCTAATGTGTACAAAATATATAGCCAACATTATAGAATATGATAGATGGTCAATATAGCTACTACAAGTAAATAAATAAATATTGATATTCCTTTGTAAATTTTATGTGTGAGTACATAAAAATTAAACACATATATGATCACTTAAATGTTTTAGTATGCTTTTATATATTCTATGTGTTCACATTTACATATGGTTGTATATGTGTTTATAGTAGTTGACATGCATATATGTAGAAAATAGATCTAATGCATACATAAATGGTCTCTGAATATATACTTTTTTATTTATGTAGTATAATATTTTATCACTAACATAAATGCCAATGAAGATAAACTATTGACCAAATATGCTAACATTCATTGTTAAGAAAATATGATGTACGCAGTTACTTATAACATATAGTTGGAGTATGATATAAAATTCAAACCTAAGAGCATGCAACTCCATAGGGGATCATTTGTGTGTCTATGACAACGTATTTATTTTATTTTTGATTATAAAGAGAGTCAAAAGTTTAAAAGGATTAAAAGTTCTTCAAATATATCATGGGTTAATAAACTCTCATAACATCATTCGTGATAAACAATTGGAGATCACCTGACACACGAGCAGGCAGATGAATACCAAGTTACAACAAAAAACCAAAATTCGCCAACTGATTAATGCATTTATTAATTTTGCGATATGCATGCCGAACTTTGACAATATTTTTCTTTTTTCTTTGAAGCTTTTTGTGCATGGTCACATATTTGTTGTATAATTGTGTTATTTCAAGGTAGTCCCTACCAGTTTTTCTACTATGAGTAACGATATTTGATAGAATTCTTAGTGGGTATTTGGATAGTTATAATTTGTATTATGAATTATAAAAATATTGTTTAAATAGTCATTTGTTAAAAAAAAAAAAATTAGTTAAAAATTATTTAATATTTACTATAAATAGTTGTAAAAATTATTGCGAGTTAAAAAAGTTATATGTTTAATGAAATTAATTTTTGAGATTTCACACATAAATTTTAATAACAAAATCATTATATAAAAGCATATATTCTACCTTTTATTGTTTAAATCTGTAATTTCAAAAATATATTTTGATTTTGACTTTTCCCATAATCAATTTAAATTTTATCAATTTAATTGTAAAAATATTTTTCAAAAATAAAAGTTAAAGCTATTACTTTAATATTTACTAAATCGGCTATAGTAGAAAGACCATTTTACTAACATGTTATCATGATAATATATATATATATATATATATTTTTTATCTATATGCAATATGGTTGGCAAATTTGAACTTATTGATTTAATTAGAATCTCTTTTCTATTAATCATACTCATGTTCAATATAATTTTTTATAATTAAATAGACTAAACTATATTAGATATAGTTTATATGAGAGTGATGAATCTTTACTCGTATTCACTCATCTCTATTAGAGATAGGTCATACTTATAAATACCTTTACATGGTGCATGATTGTCTATAGGCTAGTTTGTCCAAAAGACAAAATCATTATTTGAAATAATACTAGCTTCTTGAAGAAAATTATGTATTTTTTTAAAATTAGTATAAATTATTAAAGAGATTATTATATAAAATATCATATCTCATTTATTTATAACTAGTTTAAAAGCATTTTTTTTTAATATTGTAATTTTCGGTTGAGAACACCCTATAACCAATGCTAGATGAATGATCCAGATTTTTCTAATTTTGTGACCCTATTTTATTTATGGAGCTAATGTCTCCACATGTTTCTATGCTCTTTTATCGCATGACGTGAATTAGTACATTAAAAATAATATAGTAAATGACATAAATCAGTATATTAAATTGATTATATAGAATTAAACTATGTTATAGAGTTTATAATATATATTTAACATTTTGATGGTAATATCACATAAGTGGGTTCGAGATTATGATTAAGTTAAATAGCATCATTGTCTTATATAATATCTAAAATTAATATTGTTATTTAAACAAGATAATGTTATCCTTATATACGAGCATACTCTGTAAAAGTTAAGGAAACAAAATCATGCGTAAAGCCCATGACATTTTCTCCAACTAATTACAGTAGGTAAATATCAAAGTTGCTAGTACATGAAATTCAAAGTTTAGAAAAATGCGTACATCAAAAGTTAATGTTTATCAACTTCTCATTTCTTATTGGCTAACCATGGAGAGACTTACTATTATCTCATATAGGGGGAATCATTTTCATAAGTTCCATTCACGTTTTTAATAAGGTGGTCCATATTTGCCTAAGTTATATTTGAGTTTTCTGGTAGTTCTATGAATTTTTTACCTCTTTCTATTTCCTCATACTTACAGATGACTCGTTGAAGTTCATCGTGGAGATTCAATGCCTCAAAAAGCATGTTCTCATCATCAGTAGTGCTTTCGATAAACATTTGAATCACAGGTTGTGCTTGCTTGCATTGCATCAGCATGCTCACAGTTAGGTCATCCTGTAATCACATGTAAATTTTCTTAATATCATGAAAGAAAAAAGCACTTCATTATCCCCAACAGCACATTGCGAATGGAACACCAAAAACAAGAATAACAGTTGTGCTAAATGTTCAAGTCAATAAACAAAATATAAGATATAGTATATATAACTTTTATATGTAAAAATAAGATCGTTACCTTTAAAGACTTTGAGTTTGTTTCGGTATTCAACATGTTAGAGAATAACTCAACGTTGTTTCCAGTCGCAACAATAAATTCCTTTTTTTCTTCGGTTGATAGATTTCCAAAATTAAACGCAAAAGTGTTACTATCTGCTTTAAGTATTTCTCTATCAAAAGCGAGATATGTTTCAGGAGCAGATATAGGTTGTTGATGAATATATGACTCCAAGGTATATTGCATCGGGTGTGAACTTCCATCTTCTATTCGTGATGATTCATTCGTTTCTTTCAAGTTCTGCATGAATCATGAAAGAGAGTTCCAAGGTATACTTAGTTGTAGATTTTTCTTTTTGAAAAACTCACTACCGTATAATTCAATTTCTTATTAAAGTTGTTAACCATCCCCTCTGATGAGTGTGTATTTTAGTTATGTTTAACTTTTCAAAGCTATAAAGTAGTAAACTTTAAACCACGATGAGACATACTGAAATTTCTCATTAAGTTTATATATGTTTGAAGTATGAGAAGGAACTTGATAAAAATAATAATGGAAAGAAAAACATATGAAGGTCTTACTATATAAGTTTGGCGGAATACTGGCAGATAGGCAAGATCCTCTGATTGCCCCCAAGCTCTAATTAACTGCAAAGCCTTGTTCTTATTGACATGATTTGTTTGCGGGTTGTTAATCATCTTTACCATTTCTTCCAATATCTTAGCAGATGCTACCTCAAAAGATACCTTGTTACAATTCGTAGTGCATGCTTCCAGTAAATCAAGACTTAGCCTCTGACTCACTACATTTTTACCACAAATCTTTTTCTTTATGGCCCTGACAACCTCGGTCTCGCTAAACTCCTTGCTATTGATCATGACACATATCCGCATGTTCATGCCCCAGTTTGGCTCTTCCAAAGTCTCAAAGTGGCTTCATTACACTTTGATCTAGACTTGGGGTTGCAAATCTCCTCATTTTC